ACCTCTTCATTTCATCCTCTTCTGTAGATATTGATAGATATTGATCTTAGATATTGCTAAAGCCCTTTATTAAGAATGTTAGCGCGATGTTATGTTATAGATAATTTTAAAATTAACAATAGTAAAATAAAAAGATATTTTGCAAACCTGTTTTTAGATAACTGGTTTTTTTGAGGAAAACGCTCTTCAATGAGGAGCTCGGTTTATGTTTAGGCAAAAATGATTATAATAGATGTATTACTATGTTAATATGAGAGTAATACTGAGTATTAAAATTAAGTTTCTAAGCACATTTAGTGCGCAAAAGAATACTTAAATTCTGCTGTACATACATAGCTATTTATGTCTTAGGTACTAGCTTCTGCCCACGGCTTCGCCCGCGTGTTATGTTGTTAAAAACCGCCTATATCCAGGGTATAACCTATCTCCTTAAGTAGTAAATTTCAACCGAATCGGTCCAGCCACTTTTATGAGAAAGAATAACAAACAAAGTTTGTGAAAACGTATGGGTGTGTACACATAAAAAATTTAAATTTAAATAAAATTAAGAACCTTGTCTGTTGTACCCAGGGAGCCAGTATCCTACGTACCTAAATGCAGTAAGATTCATTTTCCATTAATAAAGACATTATTGTAAAGGTCAGTGTTAGTGATGTTGTTTTACTCTTGCTCATCACCAATAAGACTACTACTATGTTAAAAACGTGAAATATCACGTGTGTAAGATAAAGACTTTTTGGCTAAAACGTTAAAGGCTTATTGCTTTATACCCCACAGACTAAATCTGTGCTTAGGTATACCAAATGCCTTGCGTGGTAAATGTGCTAATATTTATTCTAAACTGTTATCTTGGTTATTTTTAAAACCTTTATTACTCGTATGTAGCCTCTACAAGCTAATAAAATACAATCGACTTGTTCAAATATATTTTTATAATTTGATATTTTTCAGGTTTATTTTAAGGTAGGTTATCGCCAGTGGCATACGAAGAGTCCATTCCAACTTTACTCGACGAAGTCATTTTTGAGCCCGCTCATTCCGACGCTTAGTGCAAATTATTAAAAATGTAATAAAACGCTTTTATTTTCTTGACTTTACCGCCGGTTTTCGAAAAAAAAAAAAACATTTTTAATTTTTATTTAGGTACCTATGTACTTGCTCAACGTTCAGCGTTTATGGTGCAAGACTGCAGGTAGACCACGAGAAACATTACCGAAAAGGATGACTAACTAATAATAGCAAAATGAATACTGAAAAGAAATATTTCAAGTTGAAACCTAATTGTGAAAACTTATTAAATTATATTGCCTATTATAACGTTATCTAACAATAAATGGATTATAATAAGTCTGTTTGAAGTTGTTAAATTAAATACCTTAGCAATTGTTTATTGCATACCTTTACTTTATTAGTGATAACGCTAAGTAGGACATTGTAGAACTTACAAGGCAGATATTATTTAAATAACTTTAATGACTAAATCTGAACTTAAGTGCATACTTTTGGCAAGAGGTTCTTCAGCATTATTGACAAATTTTATTCACCTCTCTTAGACTTTCTCCTTTAATTTATGAGGGCTAGTAGGTATGAAGTACTTCTAAAACCACTAGTGCTTGCATGACGATGCCGATGCGAGGTTCATGAGGAAGAGAGCTTGATGCGAGTTTCAAATCAAATCAAATCAAAATCATTTATTCCAACTAAACCATAAATAGGTACTTTTGAAACGTCAAAATAGAATAGAAGTCTGTCAGTCTGTTCGTCAGTGAAGCTAGGTGCTCGTTCCAAATTGTAGTTTCGAATGGAGAAGAACGAGCAAGAAACTCCATCGTTACACTTTTAAAAAAAAAATTGTTTTACAATTCACCAATAATGCATTTTTTATAAATTACTGTACCCCTATGTGAGAACAATGCAGAGACAAGTTGTTCATTACTAAAAAGGAACGTTGAAGCAAAGTTTATAGTAGTAGTCTACATATAGTAGGTATCTGCAATTTAGTCTTTTGGCCTTCTATAAGGTCCGACCCCGGGACGGTGATTGAACCGGACCTGACGGAATTATGAGACAAAAGGGCGCCATTTATACTTATTGGACCACCAACAAATGTTATAACAATAGGAACTACTTCCATAAAAAAAGGCGTGGCTTTGAATTTAAAAATATATAAGTATTCAATTTGTTCATTGTAAGAGTTATTGTGAGTCTGATGATACTAGTAAACTGATAAAAGTATTAGGCACTCAAGGAGACTTCTTGATAGTACAGTTTAGTTGAAAGATGATATTGATAAGCTGAATTAGGTATAATGTTTGTGAGTGCAATAACCGGTGTTTAGATACACGGTGTCTTTAAGAATAATGGTGGTGGAACTAAGGTTAAATATAAGGAAATTATAATTAATTAATATTTTTTTTGTGTGTAATAGGTCGGCAAACGAGCAGACTGATTACCTCATGGTAAGCAATAGCGCCGCCCATGTGGTTAGATTCTCTTTGCCCGCAACGGATGAGTTACGAGTGCGTTGCCGACCTTTTAGGGATTACGGATTTGGAGATTTAGGGATTGAGAAGGTTATAGTGCCATATCGAGGGCCTCATTTTTTAGAGGGTAATTTCATCAAAATACGTCTTCTCCTGCTCTAGGCCGAAGCTGCGGTACCTTATTGCGCTTACTTAACAACACCGACTAACGTATGGAATTTAAATAAGATTTATACCGTTGTTACAACTATTTATTCAATACAAATATGTCCTTGCTATTATATTTGTCATGCTAAATTTGTTATCTCAAGAATTAAGATAAAACTGTTGGTGGTAAGACTGTGTGGTAAGATTAAATTTTATGTAATAGACTGAAAGGACCTACATAGGAATAACATAACAGAACGTGGCGCCTATAGTCACCGAAGAGATAGATAGAGAACTCTTTTTGATTGGAAAAATTTGCCAAACTCTTGCAGACGAAAAACCGCCCTGTTCCTTCTCCTGTTTCGGACCTAGGCCGCGGTATATATTATAAACACGCTTACACCCGCGACCCTGGCGATAGCCACATTTTTCTCTAGTTAAATGGGGTTTCCAAGTTATAGGAAATGAAACTTTTGGTTTATAGGGGGAACAATTCTCAACCTTATAAAGTCTTCAGAATCAGAATCAGAATTTTATTAGCTCTAAATGTAGGTAGGTACAGTGTAAGATGTACATAGGTAGATAGGTATATTAAGCGCCGTCTTACAGAACAGTTTAAAAAAAATTACACGTAGGTATCAACCCCGACCTATCAGAAGCAATCACACTTGCAAGAAATGGACGCTTTAAAACATTTAATTTTTAAGACCCTTTTGTATAACGTAAGTTTATGATACAAATACAAATACTAATACTAATAGTTTTTATTGTGCCAATAAGGAAATACATTACATGTTAACGTGTTTGGAGCCCCCATTTAAGCAATAATACGTAGGTACATTATCCATTGAATCCTTAATACCGAAAAAAATAAGACAAAAGCTGACCATCTCATTTAAAAGAATATATAAATACTCGAATATCTAATAAGCGTTTTTTATGCAGTTTTACGTAGTGCTAAACATGTTTATATTAATTATTTATTCTTTTTAAACAATAGGAAATAAAAGTTTTGCTAAATATAAAACTACGGCGTTAATGAGAATAAATAAAATCTTTTATTTTTATATTATCCTTGTAATCTTGATTCTGAGAATTAGAGAGAGAGATTTATTAAATCACATCTCTTACTAACACGACACCAAATAATATTTTACTAAATACTAATCTTTTGATCCGCTGCCTGGTCGGATTTCCAAAATTCTTCCACTGATATATAGCTACAATGTTTCTGAGTGCTTTTAAGCTATAAATTATACTTGATTTGTACCTAGTTTAGTCGAAGTATCGCTTTAAACGCTGTTGTTTTTTAAAATCCCATGATACATACATATTACTTTTATACGCCTGCGAAGTCGCGGGCGAAAGTTAGTTACAAATAACATGGCTGACCTGTTTACCTCCCAGCTCAAACCATAAACAAAAATAAGGTTTTAACAAAAAATTACATTTACCTTCTATTTAATTCCGCGAACGTGACTCTACAGTGTTTAAACGTAATTTCTATTTACTCATTCTCTTTGTATCTGTTTGTAAGCGACAAATAAACAGAAAACATCTGGTTAGTTCAAATTTTATGTTGTGTTTTTACAAAGATAAGTAATATCTACATTCCTGTGTATACTTGTGTACCAAATACACTTATGAATTTATCGCTATATTTTCTAATGACAGTCGTACAAGTATCAACACGAAGGTTTGTAAGTGTGAACGGAGCCAAATGAAACTTGCTTTATCCTTAAAAAAACAATAATTATAGAAAGTCAGAAACGAGAAATTAATATGCAGTAAATATTATCCGTAGAATAAGTTAAAACTTTATATTCAGATATAAAATATTTAAAAAAAATAAGTAGGTACTTCATACAAATTAGGTGGATATATTTCTACACATATTAAGTAGGTAAGTATTATAAATTCAAAAGAAACGGAAAATACCTAATTACCTGTTTGCTGTAAATTTTATATTTATAGCTAAATTTACATTATTCAAAACTCTAAATTCAGCATAATTTTTACTTTTTCTACATAATATAGTAATATATATTTTACGAGGATAATACAAAAATACCTAAGATTGATTTCGCAAAAAACGATATCCTCAAAGCAGGTTTACAGTTATATTTGTTTTAAATTATAAACTGACGACTGGTGGACGAGGTGAATGAGAAATCCCTTTAAACCAGAATGGATATGCAATGCAATATGCTGTATGAAGTTTTATGTGATTTGAAGAATTCAGAAAGGCAATTTGGTGTTCAACAATTTACCAAGAGGGTCTAAATTACTAACACTATCATCACATTGAATGATGCTCACAAGCTTTTGGTTCAAATAATATACTTAGAAAGGTATTAAAGGATAACTTACCCAACACAAAATACTGCAAATATCACGTACAAATTTTTGAACTCCATTATTATCACAATAAAATAGTTATCTAAATAAATAAATATATCACTGAACGTTCACTGCGAGAAAAATAAATTTTAATTTCTAGTTCTTAACATTTCATAAATAATTTAATGGTAATAAAATAAACTTGCGTTGAAACATGTAATGCGCGCGAAAATCCAGCGCGCACTGAATGCGTCGGCGCACAGTGCGGTAGCGCTACGAACTCTGCTCCTGCGCAGAGAGGCGGTTCAAGATAAAGGTCTCGTAGCAATGTCGTCATCACCACATCTACGAAACCTGCAGGACTGTAACCTATAGCAGGAACCCGTCTGGATGTACCAACGTAATTTGCAATTTATTGTATGTTATATATGGGTAGTTCGGAGAATTTTGTACCACTGACTTCGTTATTGAATCCGTTTAGTAAGGTTAAAGTAATCTTGTCCATTATATGGTCCATTACAACTTCCTTTAGTATAGTGCATCTGCGAACGAGAAAAAGTCTAGACGTAGGTAGGTACCTATTGTTGGCAATGACAATATACATCAACCAATTAAATGAATTTATTTAGTTAGGTAATAAAAACTGCATTATCAGACTCTCTGTTGTACTTACATGTCATTAAATATAACCTACTTGAGTGTAACTTAACAAAAACTGCAACTGAAGTTATTTTAAACAAAAACCTTAGTGCAATTTGTGAAAAAGTGGTCAAGGTAGCGCTCATTGTAATGTCATTAACCCAAGCTAATTACTTGGATATTACGTATAAGTTAAGATGGTTGACGTTCACTGTTGAACATGACCTTCCTCACAATCCATTACAATGGAGTCCTGTGAAGGACCATCAAGAACTTTAACGTACCTATCAACCTCTTTTTTGAAAAAGGATTCCATGACATTGTCAATTTTAAAATTAGAAGACGAAACTTTTTTTTCGCTTAATATAGTTTTCCTCCATGGATAAGTCCACATCATCAAACAGGCTGTTTGCGTGTACAAAATTATTTAATACCTAAACAAACCGGTTAGGTTATTGGCATTATGACCTTTGGTCTGATACAGGTTTGATAAAATACTGCTTATTGAAATGTAAGTAGGTACAATACTTACACCGGTTACAATATCTTACTTAGAGAAGGTTGCCGCCAAACTGTAAAACAATACGGTAGTTTTCAGCTCGTCAAATTCAATACTTTTATCGAAATCTCAAAAACGATACTTTTCTATCAAATTTGTATGAAAAACTGAGGTATGACATCATAGTATTTTTGCGTCAAATAGCTTACTTATTTCTTAATAATTAGCTACAAATATTTAAAACTTAGTGAATGGATAAATCGATGAATAAAAGTAGTTATTTTGAAATATTTCATCGTATTGAAACATCGAATTATTTTATTTTTGACCTTAGAAACTACCCAATTGACAAATAGGTAGTTTCTCCTAGCTATTGTCATAGCTTCATTTAAAAAACTCAACACCGTCTAACTGCACATTCCTTATTCATTTCTTCAAAGAGTTCGCCTCTTTATAGTTTTGTAAATTATTTTAAAAAGATTACCCGTGCACTGATTCTGTAAAAAATATCGTTTCTGTTGTTAGTGCTTATTAATAGCGAACATTATAAGGTACAGCCTGGGTAACTTACTATCTCCAAGCACTGATTGGCCACATCATCGCTTGTCACTAGACGAAACTGACGCACAAACACAAACGCCATTTAATTATAAAATAAACTAGGAATCTCTTTATCACATCTCTATCAGTACAACATAATGACTGTTATCGTATCTACCTTAAAATGTTTGATCCATATTATAATGATACATCCGAGCCCTCCCGACTCCCGGGGAAACACTGAGTTTATTTGAAAATACAATTTGAATTTCACAAGTTCACTTATTTTTTTCTCGTACTAATAATGAGTAAGCTGCAGAACTTTTTTTGTGAGGGGAAAATCATCCAATGTCTTCTCTCGCCCAGGGTAAGGCGAGATGGAGTATCAAACTCTTACTGACTAAAAACTCCCCCGTTCCTTCTCCTGCTCTAGGCCGAGGCTACGATACCTTGCGCTAGCCCCGCAAAAAACTCGAAACATCGACCCTGTAGGGCTATCTATGTGGAAGTCACACGCTCTTTGAGCTCTCTTTGATTCTAAGCCTACGCCTACTGTGGCAGCTGGTGCGTGAGGAGGATAGTTCCCTCACGTGCTCCGCCTCCTCCTTTGCGATCATCACTGCTTCGCAGAAGGAGGAGACGGCTTCCCAATTCCTCTCGGTCCGCACCATGGCCTCGACTTCGCGAGAGGTCCTCAGGGGAGTGATCAGCGGCAGGTACCGCCGATCACTCCCCTGAGGACATGTTGGTGCTCAGCCCAGGCAAGGCACACCGCTACCGTACGCTCCTCCGTATGGTCCTCACAATGACGACACACGGGCGTTCCCTCCTGCCGCATTCGAAACAGGAACCTCCTGAAGGTGCCGTACCCAGTAAGCGCCTGCGTAAGGCGGGATATGAGGACGCCATGGCGTCTCTCACAACGAGGGGTCCCGCTGCTATAACAGCGTGCCCGAACTTGCAGACCTGCAGTTCTACATAAATAAATTTAAAGAAATTAAGTTTTCCTTCTTGTTACACTGTATAAATTTCCATTCATATTGTATGGTACAATGAAACTGCCATGAACCACTGTGTTGGGAATAACCTACAGAACGCCCGCATCATTCATAATGACGTAGATATGTACTACCGTGCCGTCAACGACATTTCTTAGTCACTTTTAAATCCTTTAAAAGTTTGCGTTTTCCTTATTATGTAGCTACGTCGATTGGGTAAATAAACAAGCGAGGATTATTATCTTGTTGACGAAACAACACGAAGAATATAAATTAGTTTTTTGCACCAATTTGACTATTCCAATATCTATCTTAATCATAAAAAGCTTTGATATATTGTTGATTCAAACATTTTGATGTTTTTATTAATGGAATCTCATTAGTATGAATGTATAGTAAATCCAATTTTGAGCAATAATAGCAATTCTAACAAGTAATATAATATTTTGTGCTCGATAAATATGTTTTTGATTAAAGTTTGGTGTTAGTCTATTTACAAATTCATATGAAATTATGAATCTACTTTTTAGTTTATTAAGCCACTACGCCTTACGTAGCGACGCCGCGTCGTAAGGAAACCTCAATCTTACATAAAACTACAATTGTAATTTAACTTAAGTTGAGTAACTTGATTAACATCATATAGTCATGAGGATAAACCAAATGTCTTTGCCTTGTCCTCTCATTAAATATAATATGCCACAATTATGGTAGTATAATAAGTTTTGGAGAAAAAATAAATGATGCAACATTATATGTATCTAAGTAAAGGATCACGCGATAGAGGTATGGATATAAATAAACATGTTTAACTTTATTAGTTTTATTAAGGAAACTAGGTACTGGCTATCGACCTTATCAAGTTCGAAAGTTTTTGTTAAAGAATAAATAGAGGACGGTTAATTATAAACCATACGTATGTATAATAGATTTAGCGTCTTCAAAGTCACTGTGTACAGGCAAAGAATATAATTAATACAGGTAGGTATGCCCTAAAGGCTTCATCTTTACGTGCAGCATGTAGGCGGGACCGAAACCTGGCTAATACTCTTACAGGGTTATAAGTACTTTTGTAAGTTTCTTTTCATCCTATTAACCAAGGGACAGTGATGAAAAACATAGTGAGGAAACCAAGATTTGTAAGTTCTAATTATAAGTTTGAAAATTAGCTTTGAGTAAGCGTGGTGGTTAAAACTTAAAACTCAAATGTTCTCCTTGTGAGAAGAGGTCTTAAGCTCTGCAGTAAGGGATTATCTATAAACTGATGATGTCTGATGTGTCTGAGTCTCTACCAGCCGGCCTGACGCGGGCGGGCGGGAGACTCACGCGGCGTCCGCGCCAACCGTGCAGTCAGTCAATTAAAAAACCCCCGTTCCCTCTCCTGCTCTGGGCCGAGGCCGCGGTACATTATCATCATTAACCCGCAACTCCGGATGAACATCAGCTCAAAAAGCATCAAAAGCTTTATTCGGGAGTCGACTTCTGACTAATCAACCAATAGGGCTGTCTATTAAATCTAGACTCCATAAACATAAGTCTACCTTGTCAAGAATCGTTATTACTTTTTTAATGGAGTCGCCCATGGACACTCGCTCGACCAGAGGAGCTATCTCTAGAGCGTTGCCGGCCTTCTCGGATTCTTAGGAATTTGAGAATAAGGGATTCAGATATTGGTCAAGGGAGTGACAGTGGGAAGGGGACAAAGATTGAGCTTCCAGAGATCTCACTCTTGCGGTAAAACAACACGCAAGCCAAACGTTGTATCAGTCCGGTCGAGCCTAAAAATTTGTGCCGAAAAAAGCATGACTTCCATAATGATTAACTATAACACTTAGCATATTATAGTGAATTACGTATGCACAATATACATATAGATAAAAAGAGATTTACAGCGTAACGAGTGACGTTAGAACTGCAGTCAGTAATAAACAATAATGACACCACACGCGGGAATCCGCTAGCCTCACACAATATTTGAACTAATTTCCTCATTAATCACATCTTCTTTCGGTTAGTCATAGATTTACCTGCATAAGCATACCGTCTGTTTACCCAATATGGCGTAATATGGTGAAAATAAAACTTACCATAATAAGTAATGTTTATAACTGTACGGCATATCTATCAAATTAGCATATACATAATTAGCATATACAATAATGAAGGTACCTCGGCACATAGGATTACACTAGGATTTTCTCCTGTATCGTGGGTACGTTTACAAACATACTGTACAGACACTGCGCCAACTATGCAGTCAACAGTAGATTCAATTTGAAAAAATAAACAAGGTAAATTAACATTAATCCAACTGCAGCTTGTAAATCGACCCCAACCACGATATACCTTTATCTGTACTTAAGCTAAGTTAAACCGAGCAGTATAATATACGAATATACGCCTTGGACACAGCTACTCGTCTCTATCATTTCCGACACTACAACTCCTCACATTGCACAACCTATCTTCATGGCAATGAAAAGGATTAATGGTATCTGTGTGTACTTATTACACCTTCATTTCTTTCGAAAATTAATAAGCTCCACACCACCGAGAAGCGTACTGATTTTATTTCATTATGAATTAATATTGCCAAACTTACCAAGTTTTATTTTAACCTTATTGATCAAAAAACTAACTGTTGTAAACATTTTATTAACTCAACATTAGTTA